CACAAGAGGCCTGCTCGGGGCTCCAGGCATCAATCTTGAAGTGTGTGGGAGGGCTTGACAAAGAGCTCAGAGGTAGCCACAGAAAAGCCATTCCTGGGGCTGGGGAGGCAAAGTCCCGCCTGTCTCCTTTAGGTTTCTCCATTTCAGAGGTCAGCTAGGATGGATGCCTGGAGAGCACACAGAACAAGGTTCAGTCTCGTCTTAGAAAGCCAAGGAGCCTCTGAGCTGTGTACCTACCTCACCTTAGCAGGAGGTCGTGCTCTTTATTCCACTGGGAAAGGCAGGGGGAAGGTGTCTCACAGGCTAAGGGACTGCCTACCTGGGCTTCCCACTCTCTCACCCCTCCCCAACTCCTGGACTCAGAGGCTGGTCTCATCCAGCTCCTGGGTCCTAGTACTATCCGTTCTCCTAGGAACCCACTCTCCTCCACCGGGGGCATGGCTTTTAAAGCCATCTGCTCCTGACCAGACATCTAAAGGCAAAAGGAGGCTCCCAGCCTATGGCCATATCCACTTCCAATGTGTGGACCACCCACTTCATCCCACTGAAGTCTCCTCACCCCAGGTCTAGCCCCAAGGTGGCTACATATCACGGTAGAAAGTATTGAGAAGATAGAAACCACACTAATAGATAGCACCCGCCGTCCCCCCCACCCCCACCCCACCCCACCCTCTTGATAAATACACCTCGGCAGGGCCTGAAAAACCTCAAGTTCAAATTGGCAGACTCCCTGATGCAGTGGTCAGGGGAAGGTAAGCCCCATTCCTTAGCCTGTAGCACACCCCTTTTCTGCTCTCCGGACACATCCCACAACTTAGGGGACAAGTGTTTGCACACACATAGTGCTAAGTTCTGTCGGCAGTTCTCTGTGCAGCTGCCCCGGGCCATTACACCCGCTGAGGACACCCCACACACATGGGCACAGGCCATCCTCGGGAGGATAGACCCTGGATGTGGACCTGAGGCCAACTGAGAGACTGTCCTGGGGTCCCGGGTCTTTCAAGAACGGTCAAGTGTGGAGGCTCTGAGAACACGCATGTTAGTGCCGTGGTGAAGAGCTGGGGTGGGATTGGGCCCATGCAATCCCTTCTTGTGTACACAGCCTGGGTGAGGGCCATGCTTGACCCAGGAGACCCGATGCCTCCTGCTTTTCCCATCTCAGGATCATGGTGCCATGTCTGGACACATTGAAAACTGAAGAAGCCACCTACCTCCTTGTGGTGCTTTCTAGAACCCAGGGTGGACCTCTCAACCCATAGTTCTCTGCCTCATTCTTTTCATCTTTGGATGAAGAACTTATCCCAAGAATTTAATCTTAGAAAAATTTTAAGCAGCTTGAATCAAGGTCCAGAATCCAAGACCCAGGGCTGTCACAGACTAGTACCCTTCGACTTGTTGCTGGCCTCCAGATTGGCGCATTCTGTAAGGACGTCCCCACTGAAGGGATGTCAGAATGAAATTATATAGAAGAACAAAAAAGCCTTGGGGTCAGATGAGGTGGACTAGCTCAAGGAAGCAACCTCTGACCTTGTGTAGCCTCTCTCCTCCCCCTCTCAAGGCACAGCAGAGCTGAAGGACAGGAGGCCTTGCCCCATCCTGCAAGGGCCCCTGGTAGGCCCAAAGCAGGTCCAAAAACTTGCTCACACCTGTCATATTCCTCATAAGGCCAGGGTTGGGGCTTCTTTGTGGTGGTATTTTATGTTAATAAATAAAGTTGCCTGGGGTCAGAGCTATTAGAGCCATAGCAAGTGCGTGACAGTGGTGGCGTACGCCTTTAAGGACCTGGAGGGCGGTACATACAGGCAGTGACGAGGCAGTCACATGATTGGGTTTACAACCAATGAGAAGGCACAACAAAGAAAGTACGGAGACAGACACACAGGAAGTAGGGCTCTCTTTCGGAGAGCTCTCTTGGCTGGGGAGGATCCCTGAATCAGGAAGGGTGAGGCTCTTGCCTCTGACCTCTTGGCTTTCTTCTCTGAATCGGCTCTGTGTTTTTTATTTGATAAAACCGTTGGCTACATCTACACTGAATTACATCTACACTTCTTGTCTATAGATCAGGTAGCCTTTGAAAGACCTGCACTGTTTGGTTCTACCCTAGGTCTCTAAGCCACGTAGCTTCCAGGCCCTGGCCATCTAGGCAGTGTCAGGCATGGACTCCCTCTTGAGTTTGGGCCTCAAGTTAGACCAGTCATTGGTTGGCCACTCCCCCCAGCTCTGAGCCACCATTGTCCCAGCGCATCTTGCAGGCAAAACAGGAAAACATGGCCCACAGAATTAACTAAGCAGGGCTCAGAGGGGCAACCACGAAGCCTGTATGGCGCTCTGTGTATGTGATGTGGTTGTTCCGCTTGGGGTTTTTGTTGGACTCCAAATAGTGGGAGTGTGTGTGTTGGGGGGGTGTCTCTGACCCTTCTGCCTGCTCGTGGGACCCTTTTCCTCCTACTGGAGGAAACTCCAGCCTCCAGTCTAACCTTGATACGCGTTTGTACCTAGTCTTATTGCATCTTGTGATGCCATGTTCAGCTGATATCCCTGGGATGTCTGTTCTTTTCTGAAAAGGAGAGAAATGGAGGAGCAGTGGATTTGGGGAAGAGGGGAAGTGGGGGCAGCGACTAGGAGGAGGGGAGGGAGAGGAGGCTGTGGTCCGGATGTACTGTATGAGAGAAGAGCTTTTTTTTAAAAAAAAAAGTATCCTCTTCTGAAATGCAAGGCCCAAGGACACATGAGTGAGAGTGAGCCAGGAGTGGGGGGGGGGGCGCTAGAGGGCAACCCGCCCACAAAGGCAGGGGTGGAAGTCCAGATCCTTCCTCATTCTGGCCCAGGCTCACCTTCCCGTGGTTAAAGGGCCTAGGAGGAACTGGGTGCTACCTCCGAGAGAGAGCAGGCCTCAGGAGCTGCAGACAAGGAGGGAGGGAGAGGGCAGGGCCTGAAATTCCCAGAGGCCCAGGAGAAGGGCCAGACCCCACAATGAGGAAGAATCTGAAGAAAATGTGAACTGGCAGGTCACCCATAAAGCCATTGTGGAGGAGCAAAATGCTAGGCCCTTTCCTGAAGGAGAGAGCCTTTGGACCCCTGCTCATGGATGGGCCAGAAGGAACCCCAAGGCATTCAACAGGGCAGGCAGCTTGCAGCTGGAGAAAGCTCGGCCCAGGGGGGAGTTCCGAGGACCATGGACTTTGGCAGGACCCCAGCAACTCGAGGGCCAGGAAGCAGAGATGGTCAGACCAAGATCTTCCCATAACCGCCTACAAACGGCTTCCCCAGGATGTGTGAGGTCGCTCAGAGGGGGATATGAGCCGGCAGGGCTCAGGGCCCTGAGGCAGGAAGGACAGGTGAGATGGATAAAGCCAGGAAAGGTGAGATGGATAAAGGATATTCAAAAAAGAAGGGAGCCCCTCGCCCTCTGAGCGAAGCCTCTCACCAGCTGAAACAGGAATTTGACACAATAGAATTTACTGTGAGGCTCGCCCATATAGAGACGATGTTGCTCTCACATACACTTCAAATAAAAACTCTTAGAACAGGCACGCACGTGGTGCACAGACATATATGCAGACAAGCACCCACACACGAAATGATCCTAACACAGGAGCAAACCGCGCGTAAGGCCAAAGGCCCTCCCTCTCCCCACTCTGAGAATGGCTTGAGATTCACACAAGCTGTGTCAGCTTTCTCGTGAACTAGCCTGGTAAGGGTTCCCTTGACCCTCGTGACCCATGGCTTCACCGTATCAGCCTCCTGTCCTATACAGCGTCCCTCAGAAACCACCCGAGGACCTCATTTACTAAGAGAAGAAAGGTCCTTGGAAACCCCTTGAACAATGTAACTCCAGAACTCACCAAAACCGTGTTCATGGTTATTGTTAAGACTTTAAGTGAGACTGTTGTCGGAAGCTCAGAATGTATGTACTCTCCTTTTCTGGACTCTCTCCCTCAATGCCCATGCTTAAATTGATACTAAAACCTTTTTCTTTTTCTTCTTTGATCTCATCTATCCCAGGCTGGCCTTGAACTTCCCAGATAGCCAAGGCCTCCCCCTTACAGAGTGCTGGGATTACAGGCATGCACTGTCACGCCCGGTGTGAGCGATTGAACCCAGGGATTCGTGTGTGCTAGGCAAGCACTCTACCAACTGAGCTACATCCCCAGGCCTTCCAACCTTAATAAACTCCAGCTCCGCTTTGTACTGACACACCCTGAAGTTCTTTTCTGCAGTGAAGTCGAGAATCTGGGCCACACCTGAGTGGAGGTCTCTAAGAGGAAATGTCGCAGCCTCTAGGCAGCAATTCTGGACTGTCTGCTCTAACAAGAGTACTGTAATGCGGCATCCCTCACAGGAACTAGCTCAGTCCCGGGAGCCCACTTAAAAAGGTCTTTGATGATCCAGCCCAAGTGGGGTGGGGCACACTTCTGACAGGGGGAGTCAGAAGTGCCTCTGGGAGGCAGGGGCTTGAGCGGTGGTTACCCTGGCCCCAAAGGTTTCACAGTTGAGCCTGAGGCTCCACCGAGCATGGTAACCCAGGTTCTGCCTGGCCACCGGAACCCATAAGGAAGTCTTAGTTCTTCAAGGCAGGGATGGTCCACAGCTATTAGTGAAAAGCAGCAAATGGTAAAGGATGTCAGGGTCCAGGGATGGGTGCCCAGGCCAGTCTAGAGGTCCCATCTTGGCAGGAGCAGGGAAAGTGGCCTGGAACAAACCGGGCTTTATGACCACTGTCTAGGGCAATTTTCCTTCTGCTGCCCACGTGCCTCCCCAGGGGTGTGCCTGAGGGAGGCCAGAACTACAGGTTAAGGCACCAGGTCACCGTGCTGAGTGACCTCCAGGTTCTTGTGACAGGGTGGGGTGGCGGGAATGCATGGCATCCCGACATTCCCTGCTAGGCACTCGATGAGGGCACCACCACTCAGCTCTGTTTGCCAGGAAAAGAGGACGTGAGCAAGGGACACCAGGAACTTGAGACGCTGGGGATGCATTCAATGCAAAGCTTGGCCCTGTTGCTTTAAATAAGAAATTTATTGCAAATATAGAAATTGGTTCTCTCCATACAGGAATCTCCAAGGTGAGGAAAACGATTTCGTGCCATTCGGTTTAAAACAGGAAGGTTGGGGGAGGGGCAGATGGAAGGAGGAGAAATAAATGAAGTTACCCCCCGAAAGAAGAAAAGGAGAGGGTCCAAGGCCCCCAGGAGGAGGCAAGTTCCGTACACAGCGAGGGGTCACAGGTTCAGAGTCCAGGGCCCCCGAGCCCAGCTCCGCAGGGCTCAAACCAGGTGCCAGGCTGCCGTGCCCCGGGGGGGGGGGGGGCTGGCAGCTCCTGAGGAGGGTGGAGGGTGGGGGGCAGGGAGGGTGGTCATCATTGCCTGGACCTCCACCACAGCCCTGTGCTTGCCTGGCAGAAGAGGAAGGAACAGGAGGACACCCCTGTGGATCCCTCTATTCTCCCTGCTGTTGAGCAGAGGGCAGCCGGCAGCCGGGGGGAGGGGCACACTGAGGCAAGCTGGGGGAGACACTGGTTCTTAGAGGTGGATGTAGGTCATGGAAGATGTCAGCGTGTGACATGAGCCGGATGACTGGGAAAGACACCGTCTCCTGGGGCTGAGGGGGATCCCAGAGAGCAAGCTTTATCAAGAGGGACAAACATCTAAGGGATGAGGTCACCCTACAGGTAGCTAGACACCCCATAGCGTCCCCCCAATACCTTTTCCCACCCACCCACACCCTGGAGAAGAGGCCCCCAGGCGTGTCAGGACTTGCTGGGGGCTGAGTGATAGGGTGGCCAGTGAAGAGGCTTGGGGACAGCCAGCAGGTCCAACACCTCTCCCTCCTAGTTCATTTTCAAAGCATTGGCTCTTCTTGTCTGTCACCTGTTCGTCTCCTTGAAGGGACGAAAGACCACCTGCCCGCCGCCCCCTCCCCCCCCCCATCCCTCATTTCATTCTCTGCAGGGGCCTAGCACTCCCGGGAAGCCTGCAACTTCTCCTCAGCTTCGGCCCCCCTCGTGAACTGGGAGGGTGGGAGAGTTGTCGCTTCTGTCCCAGTCTGTCCCCCTCTGGGCCTGTCTAGAGGTTTCCCTGTGCTTCTGCCCATGTCAGCTCCTTACATTTTCTGGATTGTGGGCACAGGTGACTTCTAATCAGGACCACGAGAGCCGTGCACCAGCCCCAGGCATCACTACCTGCCTCCCCTGCGCCACCCAAGGCCTCCTGAGGCGGCCAGGGCTTTCCTTGACAGGCCCTCCGGCCCTGCATTGTGCTCGAGGGAGTACAGCGTGGAAGGGCCGTTGGTGACAGAAGGGCCCTTTCCTAGGAAGTGGCCAGCTGACACAGGCTCCCTGAACCTGCTGAGATGACGCTTTTTATTTCTGGGAGGCCACACACTCCGAGAAAGGAGGCTTCACAGGTTGTTCTCTACCAGGACGGGAAAAGCCCGTTGTGACTTCCAACTGTGTCCCCCCGAGATGACTCCATGAAACCCCTGAGTTCCTCCTCTTTCTGTGCCCCTAATCATGGCCTGCCCTCAAGCTTCAGCCCAAACCTCATTGCTATTACAAAGCCAGGGGATTTGCTTGGACCCAGGGAGTAAGTATGCACTGGTCTTTCTCCACTACTCTACTTCTGCCCAGGGACAAGCCATCCTAGATAGTACACAGGACATGCCAGAGGGAAACTCCAAGGGCCTACCCTGGAGGACTGGCCAGGGCAGCTGGAGGGCCGGACAGTGGAAGTGCCTATGCCTTGGACCCTTGCTCTGTCTCAAAGATCCCTATGGCCTGGGCCCCACTGTTGAAATGGACCCTCTCTTCTTTGAAGTCCCCCTGAGTGGCCTCTGAGGTTTATAAGTTGTCTTCAATGAGGAATGACGGCCAATTGTGAGGACAGAGCCCAGTCCACTGTGGGGATCCTCCCTGGGCACGGCAAGGCCCACTCCCCTCCTGCAGGGCCCCGAGCTTCTCCATGAAGCTCCAAGCTCTTGGCCTCCTGGACTCAGTATGGCGGACAACCTTCCCCATCCCGGGTGGCTGAGCTGCCTGCCAGACAAGGTGCCTCTTCAGAGGGCCCCAGGTTCATTTCCAAATGGGAACAGGTCGACAAGGATCCTCCCACAGCCCCTTCTACGAGAACATGGCCTTGAGAACACTCTTCTGAGACTGCCTTGCCTGGTGGAGAGGAGGGAAAAGGACCAGCAGGGACAGAATGGGACTGAGATAGGAAGGGGCGGGTAAAGCAGACAGCAGGCAACCCCACGGGCCGAGGTCGGTGCCCAGAAAGATGGGAGAAGGGGATGGGGGCGGGGGCGGGGAGAGCAGGGCTATGTTGGTGGCACCTGTTTTGGGTCTTCTGCAGAGCTGGCCCTCCCTGGGTTTCAAGAGCTGCTCGGATCACATGGAGGGGATGGGGGTGGGGAGGGGAGTCTGGACAAACTGGCACATACACGACAGATGTTTGCTCAGAAAAATACAGTAAAATCGTCATGCAAAGAAAACAGGGGTCTGCTTGCTCACACCCCTGGCCTCTCGGCCTGCCTGCTGTTCTCAGGGTGGTGGGTATAAGGTGGGGTGAGGGCAGGTTTGTGGCTGGGGGAGCTCTGCTCTTCACATCCAGGCTGGCCAGTCCCCTCTTCTCCCCCAGGGGAACAGTCTTTCTTCTTCTTCTTTTTTTTTTTTTTTTTTTTTTTTTTTTTGCAAATGTCACCCCTGAGTGAGCCCTGGGCTCGGCCCACCCCAAAAGTCGATGTGATAGAGGCATTCAGTCAAGTCTCCCCACCCCAGTCCTTCCCTGTACCCCACCCCCAAGGATAGCCCTAGCTTTCCTGGTCAGAGCCCTCACAGGTAGAATGAGACGCCACCCCCATTCCCGCCCATCCCTCACTCCACAGTTGCACGGTCCCATCTCAAGAAGCCCAGAAGAGTGACAGGAGTGAGGGGGTCTCTGGAAGGGTTGGAGTAGAGCCAAGAAGGTGCCTCCCTATCTCAAGGACAAGTCAAAGGGCAACACAGGCGGGGAGCAGAACTGCCTAGAACAGCTGCCCCCGTGGCCCACAGGCCCACTGCCTACTCAAAGGCAAAGACAATGCCTTAGCCGAGTCTCAGGACTCCAGAGTAGCCCCCAGAGCTTGTCCCTGGAAGCTCCTGGATCTTGAGAGCTCTGCCGCCCGGCCAGGCCTCCTCCACCACCCTCTGCTGCCAACCACACTGAGAGAACTCCAGAGCCCAACGGTTGGTCAGTTGGTCGCTCTGGGCACCAACTGCCAGGCACTGGGTTGCCCGTGGCAACAAACTGGCTAGGGAAGAGGAGGGGCCAGGAACCTGGCCCGCTCTCTGACCAGGGCAGTAGGGGGCACCTCCCTGTTTGTGCTTTGATTGGTGTTGGGAGTGGGTCAGAAAGAGGACTTGTGGCCATCTCCATGGAAACATGAGAGCCCCTCTAGCCAAGGGGTCAGACAGGGTGGGGTGGGGCAGATGCCCTCCTGGGCAGGCCAAGATGCTGCACACAGCAGGGGCCAAGCAAGTGTGGGTGCAGGGTGCAGGGGAGGACTCCCTACATTCCTTACCATCTCCACACCGGCCCCAGGCCTTGACATTCACTTTTGCCTCTCTGTCGTGGGTAGGGGACCCGGAGACCCAGAGAAACTAGGGGCTGTGGCTTGGGGGCCTGCACCTGAGATACCAGCGGGGAGCGGGTCTACCCACCACCCCACCCCCAGGCAGCTCCCCGGGGCTACTTGGAAGACACTTGAAGGGGGTTGGTGGCACCCTTGCCTCTGCTACTCTCTGGTCAGCAGGACATTCCTCACGCCTGACCACCCAGGGCTAGGGACCATAGCCTTTCACCTTGTGGGTGCCCATGGACTTTCTAGAGAAGAGAAGCACCTGCCTACCTCAGTCCCTAGACCCCTGAGACCACAGCTTTGGAAGGGGTAGTGGGCGGAGGGGGTGGGGCCCAGAGGAGCAGCTGGAGGCAGGGCCAGCGCTGGGCCAGGAAGCTGGGAGACAGAGCTGTAACCTGTTGGGTGATACCCCCCGGGGGGGGGGGCTTCTTTTCCTCCTCCTGGGCCATCCATAAAGTGGGAGGAGAGGATGCCCAATGTCCACATGTTGCCAGATCTCCAAGGGAAATGTCTCCCCCCAGCTTGGAGGATACCCTCTCTGAGCAAGAGGGCTCTCTATGGTTTGCGTCTATTCCAGTGAGTCCCAGGCCCCACACCCTCTCTGGCCTCTTTCCCCAGCCCAGTGAGTCCCTTGGGCAGCACAGTAGAAGACAACTGGTTTCAGTAGCAGGTTGTAAACTTTAAGGAAAATGTTTGTTTTCCTGTCCGTTATTGTTGGGTGTTGGTTGCTTCACAGTCAGGTGGTGGTCAAGTGTGTGTGTGTGGGTGTGTGTGTGCGGGTGTGCGTGTACGTCCACTCCTAGGCCCGGGGCCCCTCGGGCCCGGACCCCTTGGCCTGTCCCCCGCCTCCCGGCCACCCTTGGCGGGGCCCGTCCCCCCCCCAGTGCCCCTGCCCCTCCCCCTCACCTCACCGGTGGGGGAGGAGAGGGTCACAGCTTCTGCTGGGCTGAGACCCCCTTCCAGTAATCAAGGATGTCATGCAGGTCCTCATCCTTGGCGAACTGGACCTTCTTGCGCAGGGCATGGCCGGCAGCCATGTACACCTCCTCGCGGTGGTGCTTCTTGTAGGGCCGGAAGCGCTCCCAGATCTTATGTGTGCTCTCAGACGAGTACTCGGGGCTGGAGGAATACCCTGAGTAGTAATGTCTTGGGGAGAGCTGCGAATAGGCGGAGTCGCGCTTGGAACGGGTCAGTGGCTTGAGGAAGGACACACGCTGGCTCAGGCTGTCGGTGCCCTCCTCATAGTAGAGAGCAGGGAAGCTGTGCCGGTGTTCGCTGCAGTGGTAGGCCGGCTTCACCTCCAGGTGGTGAATGCCACCACCACCACCACCACCAACACTACCACCACCACCACCACCGCTGCTACCACTGCTGCTTGTGGGCACCAGTGGAAGCCGGTCCAGCGGGCTGTTGAGGGGGCTGCCTTTCTCTATGTACTTGGAGTCGCCCTTGGCCAGCCCGGTGGGGGTTGGATGGTCTGGCACGTCCAGGCTGAAGACCTTGGCGCTCTTGATGGAACCACTGGATGACACACTGCAGGTCTTGCGGGTTACCGCAGCATCCGCGCTCAGCTGGCGCTGCAGCGGGTGGTGGGAACTCTCCTTGAAGGGGGGTGACAGGAAGCTGGGCAGCTCTAGCGCCCCAGGGGTGGCAGCTGAGGAGGCGACAGTAGCTGCAGGGAGGGACTGGCACTCGAAGGCCAGCTCAGAGTCCCCGCCCCCACTGCCACCCCCTAGGAAAGAGGCCGAGTCTAGCTTGAGGGCATCGATACAATTGTTAATGATCTGGTTGACCTTGTCCACTTCCTTGGCAATGGTGGAGATCTCTGCAGCCGAGCCCTGGCCGTTTTCGATGTCTGGGAGCTCTTCCTCGGGCCGGGCCAGGCCGTCCCCTGCAGCACCTGTGCGCACCTCAATATAGTTGCCTTTAGTAGCGACCTTGGGCGTGTCTAGCCCGGCCTCCAGCCCCTTGGAGGCCGGCAGCTTCTCCCCGATTATGGAGGGAATAGAGGACATGCGGGCCACAGGCAGTACAGGAGGCTCGACCAACTTCTGGGCCGCGTGCACAATGGAACCGGCATCCACATCGGCACCATAGCGCATCTCCAAGATAGTCTTCTTGACATTGACGGACTTCTGCTTCTCCTCTTGCATGCGCCGCTTGCGCAGGCAGTAGTAGACGGCCCCCAGCACAATGACCATGCCGAACAGGCAGCCCAGGATGGTCATGATGTAGTGCGTGGTGGTGGAGGTGCTGGGGGCCAGGTCCCCGGGCACAGGGTCCCTCGTGGTGAAGGTCAGGCAGGTGTGGTTGAAGCGGCGGCTGTTACGTAGCGAGGTGACGCAGAAGGTGTACTCGGTGTGCGCCCGCAGCTTGTCCAGCGTCACGATCTCCTTCTTGTTCTTGAGCGTCATGACGTCGGAGAAGTAGCTGTTGTTGTACTGGACCAGCACGTACATCTTGCTGTAAGGGTGCGGAATGATGACAACCAGGGTGGCCGAGGTGAAGGTGACCTGGTGCAGCTTGATGGCAGGTCCCGCAGATGCATCTGTGGTAGATGAGGCCGGCGGCTCCACCGAGAGGATCTCGTCAGGATTGAAGCCTGAGTTCTCATCAGGCTCCCTCTGGGCATCCGTGGAGTAGGGTGTAGGGTGACTCACGGGCCGGGCAGGCATCGAGCCATTGCGGCACTTGGCCTGCAGGACGGTGATGGCATTGAGGCTATGGTAAGGTCGGGGCACAAGCAATGGGTAACCAGCAAACTCCCTCGGTGACTCACACTGCAGGCGGTCATAGTTCTTGGTGACATTGTTGAAGACCACGAGCCAGGCGAGGAAGCCGAAGAGGTCACACTCACAGTTGAAGGGGTTGCCGGCCAGCTCGCACACCATGAGGCTGGCGAGGCTGGCAAAGGTGGCGCCATCAAGACGGCTGAGGCGGTTGGAGGACAGGTCGATGCTGATGAGGCTGGGGCACTCTGAGAAGGCGGTGGGCGTCACCACCTCGATGAGGTTGTGCTGGACAAAGAGGAACTGCAGGCGGCTCATGCCACGCAGCATGCCCTCCGTCAGGTTGCTGAGCCGGTTGTAGCCCAGCTGAAGGACCTGCAGGCTCGTCTGGCCCAGGAAGGCACCGTCCTCAATGTAGGAGATCTCGTTCTTGGTGAGGTTGAGGTCCGTGAGGTTCCCGAAGCGATTGAGCGAGGAGTAGAGGACGGCCTTGAGCTTGTTTTCATTGAGCCGCAGGTCATGCACAGTGCTGTTGATGTGCTGGGGGATGGTCTCATAGGGTGGCTGGTTCTGGCTGCAGATGGCCAGCCACACGTAGCCCTTGTCTCCCTCAATGAGCCAGCAGTCGGCGTGCACGGCGCCCGGCTGGCACACACACAGCAGCGCGGCCGCGCACAGCCCCAGGCGCAGCATGGCCCAGGCTTCGACCCCTTGTGGACCCAGCTGGGGTGAAGGGCCAAAGAACGGAGGGGACCTAGCAGCCAGAGGATGGGGCCGGTAGCACAGTCCTCCCTGGAGCCACCACCATCTTGGGGGTGACCTCCAGCACAGGAGTGGGGGGGCGGGGCCTGGGCAGGATGGATACAGCTGGCGCCTGCTGCTGTTCTGAAGGGCTACAAGCAGGCACTAGGCGTTGCCGCGGCTCTAGGTTCCTGCCGGAAGCGCAGGCTCCCAGGCTTTGACTTCTTGCTCTTCTCCTCCTTCCCCTCGGGTTCCGGGATCAGAGCTTCAAGCAGTTCCCACGGGAGCCAGGAGCGCAACACGACGGCGGCGGCGGGACGGTGAGCGAGCTGGAGACAGGAAGGAAGAAGCCCATCTGCCACCTAGTTCCTGAAAGGTGGTATCAAGAGAAGTGAGAGATCAGTGTGAGGGCCCCCGACTCACCCCTTCAGATCCAGTGTAGGCCCCCCCACCCCTCTTTGACGCCCCTTTCGAACCAGGGACTCTGCACCAGCAAGCACCCCAGGGCCCCTGCTCCCTTAAAGCAAGGGAGGGCTGGGGTGTGGCAAGGTGGGAAAGAGAGAACCAGGGAAGAGTTACAGTGGGGGGCGGGGGTAGTCTGAGCACCAAGACAGAGAAGGAAACCCGGCGAGGAACGGGTGGGCACAAGTGCGTGGACACCCTCCTGGGCACACCCGGCACACTGTGTCCACAGGCCACTGCCGGCCTGCACAAAGCTCACAAAACCAAAAAAAAAAGCTCCATGGGATGCACATGGGAGGGACACACACACACCCCTAACATCTGTGTACATGACAGACATGTCCACACATCCAAGTGGGCACCCCCAAATCCGGATGAGAATTAAGAAGCCCGGCAAAACGCCTCATTCTCCATGCCCAAAGATAAATAATTCATTTGTTGTGTAACTGCTCTTTTTCCAAAAATAATTCCCTTGTCTCAGCTTCCGTGGGGGAGGGGAGCAGAACAGGCTGGCGGTGGGCCTCCCTTGTGGTGGAGCGCAAGGGCCAGGGTCTCTGCAGAAGGAGGGCTGGTCCTATGGGCATCACTGAGCTAAAAGAGGAGGGCCAGGAGTTTGGGACTCTAGACAAATTCCCTAGTAGAGTTCTCCCAAGGACAGCGTGCTGCCCAAAGGAGGCTCAGGACTTGGGACCAACATGGTTAAATCCTTATATCCTCTTCCAGAGTCAGAGGCTCAGAGAAGGACAGGGCTTTGCCCCAAGTAACACAGCAAAGCCTGGGTCAGGATCAAGGTTCCTGAGACACTCAGAGTCCCCATGGAGTCAGGAATCAGGAGGCCCTTCCTGCACAGCCTGACTAGCTGGGTAAATCATGGTGTCTCTTAGCTACTGCACTTCTGTGCCGAGTGGGGGAATCCAGCCCTTTCCTGGGCCATTTGATGGGAAGCAGCAAGGTGACTTGGCTGCTCACCCTGAGACACAGAGGACAGGACAGCAGCAGGGGGTCACAGCCCACAGCCCACAGCCCATCTGATTCATCCTTCACTTTCCCATGAGGAAACCAGGCCCCAAAGTTTGCCCTGGGGAGATTTGGCTGGGTCCCCTACAAGCTGCATACCGCCAGACCTGGCTCCGGCCCACACCCTGGGCTCCAGGCTCCAGAAACCATAAGGGCCCTAGACAGTTGTGTTCCGACAAGGACACAAGATGGTCAGAGAAATCCACATTTGTCCAAAGAAAGCCGGAACAGTGTCCACAAGTGCCACCTCCGCCCCTGCCCCTCCCCCGGGGAGACTCCAGGAAAGAGCACTTTGGAAAAAAAAAAAAAAAAATGTCTAGACTGTGTTAAAGGGAAGCCAATTTAAAGCTGTGAGCGGCAGAGGAGAAGAGGGAGGGAGCCAGGGGGACACACCGAGAGGAAGCTCTGGTGGCACGCGCTGAGGTGCCTGGTGATGAGGTCCAACCTGGGTCAAAGGCAGGATGGAGACCTTTGAGGCCAGACTTTGTCCCCACTGCAGGGCCAGTGTGGGTGTCACAAGGCTGCCTAGGCAGCCGACAGCTCTTCCGTCCCCACCTGCACCACACAAAGCTGTCACAGCTGGAGAGTTCGGCTCCTGTGACACATGGCCTCAGTTTCCCCTCCCACGGGCAGACAGACTGTCCCGGAGGGGGTAAAGTCCTCCCGCTGGCTGTCTTGAGAAGTGGGGACCAGCCCGTCCGAGAGCCCTCAGTCTGTAACGCAGGCCCTCCTCAGTCTGGGGACCACATTGGTATGCAGGTGCACACACAGGTGTGTGACTGGCTCCAGTGCGCAGATACAAGGGCTCTGACGCGTTCCCCAAGACAGCATGCAGGCAGGCACATAAGCACGAGCGTGTGTGCACCGGACAGGTGCAGCTGTGATCAGCCACAGGGACCCATGCCGAGGGGTGGCAGGCATGCACGTCTGGGGCCTTGGAAAGGAAGGCAATCACCCACCCCCTCTATGACGCTTAAGCACATGTGTGTTGCTCACACGTGTGTGTGCGCGCGCACACACAACCAGCCACACAGAGTCGCTTTCCCCTGCTCAGATCTGAGCTAAATCAGTGTCACCTTAGCCAGGAGCAGGCTGGCCGGAGCTGTGGAGGACACCGTCAGGCAGGGGATGGGAAGAGGCCAAGGGAGGGGGTGGAAGGGGGCCCTGGTTTGGAGAGGTGCCGATCCCACCTGGTCTTGCCCTTTCAAGATAGGCCAGGGTAGGTAGAGGCCCCGTGGTTCCCCCAAACCCACAAGGTGACCCTGCAGTGGCCCTCTCCTCTGCTCCCCAGGACGGCTTGGGCTGAGGCCCAGCTCCTACTCTCCCTGTGACGCACAGTGGGGCGGAGACTCCCATCACTGTGTCCCGCATGCGTCAGTTGCCCTGTCCCCACGCTGGGCTGTCTGCCCACCACCCGTGGAGGCCCAGTACTGGCAGGGAGAGGACAAGGCCACAGAGATGCTGACAGTAGCACTCCCCCCCCCTCAACCCCCACCCAGCTGCTCGCCCGATCAAGGTGCAGGTGTGCGGGGGGTGGGTGTGAGGGTCTCAGGGGTCAAACAGACAGGCCACCCTCCCCTGCTCCCACGAGGGTGCTCTACACACACACACACACACACACACACACACACACACACACACACACACCCCTGGGACGAAGGAGAAATAAAACCACAGTGACGGGTGAGCAGGGAGACAAAACAGAGAGCGCCTCTGCCAGAGGACTGACCACGGGGACAGAGGGGACAGGCTCGGGTATGACAATGTGGCACAGGTACCTGCTGCCTACCCCCAAGGCCCAAGGAGACACAGGAGACCGGACTCAGCTAAGCCCCGAAACACATCCTGCAGCATGTCAGAGGGAAGACGGAAGCATGCAGGACAGCCGGCCAGACCCTGAGATGGTGATGGTGCCGAGCCCCGGGGGCAGCTTGGGAGCCGTGCAGCAAAACGGGCAGGGAACGCATTCCAGATCTGGGCAGCACTAGCAAAGGGCAGTCTAGCCGGCTACAGGCCGAGTCCTCGGACAGAAAGGAGGAGAAGAGCCAGCAACACCAGCGGGCACAGGCTACTGGGGAGCAGAGAGGGCAGGTCAGAGCTGGAGAGAGAGAGACTTAGCCACCTGGGCAGTGTCCTCCTTCTGTCTCAGGCTTGGCTTCAATGGCCAGGTTAACCCAGCTGGGGTTATGCCCCTGCCCTTTCTCTCACAGACTCAGAATCCTAGCATCCCCCAAATGAAAAGACAAGCCCAGACTCAGCTGGATTCCAGGCTTCCCGTGAGGAAAACGGGGGCCACCACGACAAAAGCGGGAGCGTGGTCCAGGTCCCGCACAGCGCTGGAGCAGGTCAGACCCAGGACCCAGGGTGTCGAGCCCAAGGCTCCAGCAGGATCCTCTGCTCCTGGCAAGTGCTCACTCCCTGGAGTGCAGGCGTTGGCCTGAACCCTGGTTCCCTCACACATGAAGCTGAATGGATGCACCCCACAGGCCTGACAGGGGCAGCAGCGGGTTCCCACAGGGGGCAACCCAGGCCTAGTATTACGGTTGGTGTGGCTTCTAGCATGACATCAGCCTGTGGCGGTCTGGATGAGAATGGCCCACTCTGAGACTCTTGGTGAGCCACAGGCCTTCTCTGAGCCTCAGTTTCCCCTCTTATGTGGCAAGATAACCAGTGCCCGGGCTTCCAGGAACCTCCAGGACACAGCAGGGGGCATACCAGAGAGAAGAGTTGTCTCAGCTGTGCTGACCCAGGCTTCCACCCCCATGGGGACACCGCTTAGCTCAAGGGACCGGGACAGGACATGGAAACATGTGGCTGGCGTCACGGCCACCCATGAGCGACGAGGAAATCAGCCGGGACACATTGCTTGCAGCGGCTCAGCCCTGGCAGACTCTTTTTCAGGGCCAGGCTGGCCAAGCCTCCCCCAGCACCGTCATAACCACTTGTGTCCATGCCGTTGCCCCAGATGAGAAAGACAGGGTGCCTCAGGCCCAGCCAGAGCGCTCAGCCCTCACAGCAACATCACCACTCCTCTCCAGACGCTAGCGCAGGGCCACCCGGCCACTGCCCATCCGTTCACCTTCAGGGACAAAGCTGGCTACCTTCTGGGGCCAAGGGAATGGACACTAGAGCTTACTGCTGCCTTCACCTTCCAGGGTCTTCAGGGGGCACACTGCTTCCCCGGGCCTCTGTTCCTCCTCGGGGAAGCGGAGCATTGTGCCCCTGCCGCTAGGCCACCCAGTAAGTTGATAAGTTACCTGGGTTTCAGGGGTGACGTGTCTGCCCCAAGGGAGACAGGCAAAAGTGCAGGCGCTGGAAATAAGAGGTTCTGGGGTCAAACACAGGGCTGCGCCGACACAGGCAGGCTCACCACCCTCTGGGCTCCAGTCTCCTCCCCTCAGTCCTGTGTGACTAATGCCTCAGTCGGCAGATGACAAGACTGGAAAGCTGGACTCATGGTAGTGGGACACACACACACACACACACACACACACACACTGACCATCTTACGGGTTTTCTGACCCTGGTATACCCCCACCTGACAGAAGGAGCTGTCCCCAACCCCCGGGAGGCTAACTTATCAGTCAAGAAGTCCTTAGTCGACACCAGTTGTGCGTCTCAACCCCAGGACCTTTGCACATGATTCTGCCTGGTGTGTATTTCCTCAGCACCTCCGCAGCCCACTGCTTCACCTTAGGTCTCTCCTAAACTGCTCCCTACCTTCACCCCTGCTTTATCCCCAAACCTGAGAGAACCCCCTTGTCACCCAACCTAGCTTTTGTCCTCTCGCTGTGCTCAACCATGACATCTGACTCTCCCCTGCCACCTGCTCCCTCACTCCACCACCCAGCACAGCACAGTGGGGCTCTATCCTGTTCACTGGTGTAGCCCCCTACGCTTGCGGCAGGCTCAGACACACCGGGTGCTGGGGCTGCCGTGTGCAGGAGAGATGGGGGGGTGGGTAGCAGCAGGAAGAGGGTCTTCTCAGGGCCAAAGTATCAGAGGTCAGAACTCACTGCCAGTGGGGGCTCACAACACGGCAGGAAATGCCCTGAGCCTCCTGGCCGCATAACCCCTTACACTTCTCATTCCAGACAAGGAGACAGAGAGACTCAGAGAGGCGTAGCCCTCTGCCCAAGGTCACACAGCCAGGAACGGAGGCCAGCCTGAGTGCTTGCTAGGGTCTCTGCAGGTACTGCTTCCCACGCTTGCATGCGTCCACCACAGGACTCTCAGTGGGTGCCTGCTGCTGTATCCTCTCCATCTCTCCCTGATCCGTGATGCCAGCTCCTTCCTGCCCTGGGTTCAGCCACCCCAGGTCACTCCTACCATCGGGCATCCTGGAACCCAGCACGAAGACCAATGTTGTCCGAGCCGCCACCTCCACCAGGCTTGGCTTCCTGCTTCCTGCCCGTGCGGCGGCGGGAGCGTGCGTCAGTTGTCCTCACCTTGTCCTAGATGTCACCCGGGGGCCCCGGGGCCCCATGTGCACACTGTCAGACACCCTCAGAACGTCCAGGACACCTGGGGGCCATTCCGTCTCTGTCTCACCCGAGGTGCTGGGTTTCATCCACCCCATTCAATCACGTCTCATTAATCTCAGCCCACATGCCAGCTGCTCTGCGTCCCCGGGGAGCTGGCCTCTGCCCTCTGCCTCGGCACCCATGAGTTACCCCGTGCTGGGAGCCGCCATGGCTGTGCATGGCACAGGGAGGAGAGAGCAGGCCTGGGTGAGGAAGACACCATCCCTGCAGCTACACTCAGGCACCACACCTCCAACACCCCCTGCCGGGGGGCTCCTCTTGCATCTGCTCTGCCGCGGTAGATACAGCTTGCCATCTCTGAGCTTTGGTGGGCCTCCAGAGCCTAAGAAGACCCACACACACATATGGAACGTGGAACTCTTTGGCCAGAGACACAACCAAGAAGGGCCTGCCATAGGCAGAGCCTTGGCATGGAAGAGTACCAGCTCTGAGGCAATGAGGCCTGCCAGGCTGGTTCCTCATGTGAGCCCTACAATCCAGGGCGTTTTGTCTCTGGGCCTCAATTCCTCCTGGGTTCAGAGAACAGCAGCGTGCACGGGTCTCCCGGTCTCTGCCCGCTGTATCAACCTTCCCAGCTCATGGGTCCTCTACGTCCCTGTCCCCAAGGCACCCCAGCACTAACCACAACTAATCCTCCACGCAGGAAGTCAAGGACCTCGATAAGGCCTTGAACCTGGCTACTGCCCACAGCCTGCCAGGGAGGCCCAGCCCTGGTTTTGTTAAGCAGTTCTGCAACACCTGGCCTGGCCCAGCTCCTGCCCACCCCAGCCCCAACCAACCTAAGACACCAGGCACAGGGGCCCTTGGGGGCCCACCTTCAAGGAAGCTCTGAAAGGAGGTCCATCCTAGCACCACTGACTCTTGCAGAGCCCCCCCTGCTCAGGGAACTGTCTTCCTCCCCCATCCTCACAGAATCTCTCCTCCCCTGGAACCCGTATCTAGTACTGACTCTCCTCCCCCCCCACCCCTGCCGCCCCCACTGTATAATACCCTCCCCCCACCCGACCCTGTCCTTTCTCTGCCTGACCTCTCCCCCTCCAGCCTCCTCTCTCCCCACCTGGTCTCTTCCCCTCTATGACTCCTGCCCTCTCCTGCCTGGCCTCTCCTCCCCCTCTTGGCTCAGCGGCAGCCCCTGGGCGCTACTCACCGGTCTCCACTGGACCCGCTCTGTGCCTGCGCGCGCACGCTGCCTCTGCCTGCATGGCCTCCATTCATTCATTCAATAAACATTTATGGAACACCTACTATGTACCAGGCACCGGCTAGGCCCACCCTCTTGGTTCTGCCTGCTCCTCTTCCCGGGTCCCAAGGGTGGGCATTTTCCTGCCTCCCAGTATCCTTAAGGGTCATCCCCAGGCAGGGCAGTGTGTCAGGGGACCTCTGGGGAGAAGCGGAGGCTCCAGGTCTGAGCATGCAGCCCACTGGAGCAGCCTGGCCTGTCGGGGGGGGGGGGGGGGGGGATACATGGGCAGAAAAGGCATCAGTTGGGCCTGGCAGCTTCCTGGGAAGCAGCCTTTGAGCCAGTGCCCTTCTGATCACTACTATACACAGGGAGGGACTAGTCTCCAGCTGCTCTGCAGTGGCTTTCTCCTCCTCGGCCTCAGGCTCTGACTCATGCAATGCCAAGGGACCCTGCTTCATCTGGACAGTAATTAAATTTTTGTTTTTTAGCTAGCTGGCAATGTGGAAAGCTTGGGAGCTTTTGTCTTTAAAGCATCCCTGTTTCTGGAACCCAGGAGCACCCCCAGACAACGGGGTAGCCATGGCACTGCCCTCCCTGACCCCTGGGCAGCGAAGTTTATGAGGCAAACAAGACAGGGACTCTCGGGGGGTGGGGTGGGGGAGAGGGCAGTTCCGCCAGCTTTCGTGGAGACCCACCAGCAGGCTGCTCCTGGCCCACACACTCAACCCTTGCCTCCAGCCGCACCCCACACCACCCTGCCCTGCACTGGTTCTGGGTCTCAGAATGCTGGGACATTAGCAGCATGGGTCTGTCCGTTTTGGAGTCTCCAATGATGACTCTAGGATTGTGGCTCTTTGGTCCCATCAGTCTGCAGCTTCTAGGCCTGGGCTAGGAGTCATCCATTCTCCAGGACTTTAAACTCCTCCCCTGGCTTCTCCTTGGCTTTTAGCAGGGGAACCCTCATAGAGTTCCCCCCCCCATACCTGCTGCCCCTCTGAGGACCCCCAACTTCTCGCCTGCCCTCCAACTGTGCTCCCTGGATCTCTGGGTCACACTAGGAGTTCCAGCTGAATTTTCAGAACAAGCATCCTACCCTGCCAGCTGGCCTCTGCTGAATTCCTAGTCCAGGTTGCGTGGACATTAGGCCTAAGTCTGACTCCAAGTTTGGACCAAACGTATGTGGGGTCCTGGGCAGCCAGACTTCAGGGTACTGTCCCCTGACTTACTGCCTCCCACCTGCCTCTCCCAGGCCCCAGCACCCAAGGTTCCTGCTACAAAGCACCCCCCACCCCCACCCCCCCGCAAGGCTGGGCTGAGAAATTCCTCCCAGGACAGAGCCAGCTGTCTGTATCCTTCCTACCTCCAAGCAGGTGGTTGCAAAGACCAGCATGGGTGCCACCAGAGATAGTATGCAACGCCCTCTCCTGGCCCTGAGGGCAGTTGTTCTGGGGGTTGGGGGCCAGACTGAAGGCTGCCTTGGAGGCCGCAGGGGGCCTGCAGCTGCAGCCCAGAGAACAAGGAGGCTCTGTCCGCACCCAGGGCCCCGGAAACGCCACTGGGGGAGGGCCACCCGTGACCGTGGTGATGACATGCCTTAAACCATGGAAGCTCCTGTGTCTACCCCACTCAGTGGGTCCTGTCCCTCAGGCTACCCTGGAAGTTCAGAGCCATACTCAGATCACATGGGACTCTGCCAACTGCCTACCCGGTGGTCCTGGTAAGCTACCTTCCTGGGTGTTTCCTCTTCTGGAAAAAAGAGAGAGAGAGAGAGAGAGAGAGAGAGAGAGAGAGAGAGAGAGAGAGAGAGAGAGAGATGGAAGGGGTTCTGGCTATAGGTAGCAGCTAGAGGAAGCAGGGTCTGGCACATAGTAACTGCTCAATAAAGTTAACTGCTCTAGAAGGTTCCGGCAACCGGCTCCAGGAGCACTGTGCCAGCTGGCCTTGTCACCTCCATGCTGACGGTGGCTGTGCAGAGGCTGCGGCCTGGTCCCTGCCCTGCTCTTCCCTCTAGTCCTGAGAGCCCAGCACCCCTCTCGGCCTCTCTCCCTGCCCCCTCTCTGAGGTCCTGGGCCCTCCCTCAAAGGGCCACCCCACCCCAGCCTCAGCCTGTACCCAGCCTCGGTTTCTCTCCCATTGCCAAAGCACAATGGCTGTTATAATTAACGGATTATCTCAGCGCGACAGCTGTGCCCCTTTGAAAATTAGGTTGAATAACAAGATCCTGATGTATGGTAATTTCCTCTCCTCGCCCAGCCCTGTTACGCATGCAAATATTTTACTCCATTCCCAAACACCTTCCCTTGCACGGCAGCCTCCCCTTCCTAGGGCCCGGAGCTAGGCTTCTGCCTTCCCTGCCTCCTCAGGGCCCTCCTGCCACCCAAGACTTGACATCCACTATCTCACTCTGGGAAAACACCGTGGGCGGAAGGAAACACAGCCTTCCCAGCCTGAGGAACCGCACGGCTGGCTTTCCTCCCCTGTCCCTGTTCCTCAGAAGCCTTCCCGGGGTCCCATTCCAGCTCTCCGCTCCCCTTAAGCCTACTTCCTGCCCCCAGAGCACATCTTGGTCCTCTCCGTGGTTCCTAAGAGATGGCTTTGTGCTGACCACCATCACCCACGCCCTCTAGCCCTGTCCCAGCTGCCTGTCCCCTCCCTGGCACCTAGAAGGACTCTCTTTCCCACCTTACTCCCTGCCTGGCTTCTCTCCAGCTCCCCACCCTAGGGATATCCTGCCCAGCAGCCCCATTGGTCCTTCTCCTTCAGCGTCCTCTCTGATCTGCCTCCAGGTTTACCAACCTATCACATCTCTCCTCCACCCAGCAGAGGGAGAACTTGCTAGAACATTCATCTGAGAATGGCTTCTTCCCCTAATAGAAAGGCTTCCCTGGCTCCTGGCTGATCCGGGGAAATTCCAGCACAACCCAGAGCCCAGCCCCTGTGGTCCTTTGGGATCTGGAACCTACTCTCCTCACCTGGTTAGGGTGCTCCTTATGGGTCCCTACAGCCCCTGCCTGGGCTTTGTCCTTCTCCGTCCCTACCAGAATCCTAACCACCCCTGGCCTTCCCCTTAGACTCAATTTCCCAGGGAAGGCCCAATCCTGAGCCTCCCCACCAACCCAGCCGGCACCAGGCCTCAGTAGGTGCTCAATAAATATCTACCACTGCTAAATGGATAGGAAAGCCAGCCCTCCCAGAAACAAATAAAGAAACCGAGGCTCAGAGTGGCTAATGTTCTCTCACCATCACAGTCATGCAAGGCAACACCAGGACTTGAACCCAGATCTGAGATCTGAGTCCGTGGCACTCCCTGACGAGGCTGTCTGGAAGCAGCTCCTCCACAGTCAGGGTGGGGCAGCTTCAACATCCCCAAGGCCTCCGATGCCGCTAAAGAGATAGGATCTTAGCCCAGGCTGTCCCTCCCTGCGTCTAACCTCGGACCCGAGCCTCAGGCTGCTCACATGTGAAGCCAGGAAGGAGCCCCCTCTGGGCTGGGCTCTAAGGATGACTGCCAAACCCACAGTCTAACTAGTGGCTTCTGGGTGTCTTCCTGCCATGACTCTTGGGAATCCCTTGGGACACTGGGATAGACAAGATGGGAAAGGCCACACAGAGCACAGACCCCCTCAGTGAGAGGTAATAGTAGGAGCATAGGGGATTGAGGTCAGATCGCACCTCGGACAAGAAGTCTCCCTCTCTAGGCCTGGTGTGCTACCCTGTGACCTGGGCCCACGAATACCCACCTCCGGGGGCAGCAGTAAAGACTGACAGTGGCATGCCCAGCACAACACAGATGCCACACTAACTACATGGCTGCTGGGTCTATGGAAGTTCCAAGGACAGGAGGAGGAGAAGGGTGAGGCAAAACAAGACGTGTCCCTGACTCCCTCAACAGCCCATCACAGCTGCCACTGCCCCCAAACAGCTCATGCCCTCAAGCCTTCTCGCCTTCTCTGAGCTCACACCATACCGTGTCCCTTTCTAGACCCGCAGAGCGTCTGGGATGCCCACCCTCACCCCACCCCCACCGTGTCCTCCAGGTCTTTGTTCATGGTGTTCCTGAGTCTGGGAAACCGTTTCCGCCTGTCCCCCCGCCCCCAACACACCCTGGGGCCCAGAATTTTGCCCCGTCTCTGAGGAGCCTGCAGGAGAGGGATGGCCTCCCTGCTCTACCCCACCCTCAAGGAGTGGCCTGTGGAATCCTGGAAAAGCCTCGCCTCACCTTGCCCTCCCATGTTACGGGTGGGGAAACTGAGGCATAGATAAACAGTAGCCCTCCTGTGATGCACTTGATCCCCGGGCTCTGCTGCTCCAACCCTCCACAAGGCTTCTCTCTTGGTACCAGAACTATCTGAGAATAAAAGCCCCCACTCTCCTGTCTGTGCTCCCCAGTGCCTAGCCTAAGGCCTGGCGCATAGTAGGCACTCAGTAAATGTCTGTTGAATTGAATTGCACTCAGGGCGGCCAGTCGTCTCTGCTCTGGAAGAGAAGCATAGAGTTAGTGGAACTGTTTCCATGGCAACCAGGGGCCGGACCACGCTGTTGGGGGAGGAGTTCAGTCACCCCCCCCCCACACACACACACCAAGGACCCCACGGGCCCTGGAGAGGGGCCTGGGTAGAGGGAACATTCAGACTTAGGTGAGTCTGAATTCAAGTCATGCTGCCCCTAGGTTCTCACAGGTTCCATCTACAGGTGACACTTTGGTTCCTCCAAGCACGTGACAAGGCCTGCAAGAGATGCAGGAGGCATGCACATAGTGGCCTCCAGCTTAGGAGCTGTGACTGCTTGGCACCTGGTGCCTGGGAACTGCCTGGGAATCATGCTCATCCTACAGCTGCGAGGACTGAGGCTTGGGCCAGGGGCAGGGCTGCCCTGGATCCCAAGCTGTATAGGCAGTCTCCCCCGCAGAGCTGGAAGAAGCAAGGCACGACAGACAATCCTCAGGTGAAGATACCAACCCCACTCCCACCCCGCCGCCGAGGGTGGCCCCAGTCCAGCCCAAGCCGCGAAAGACTGTGCAAGCCAAGTCCCCAGCAGGAACCCCCAACCACAGAAGGGGAAGGTGAGAAGGGGGCTCACCCCTGTTCGCCTCTCCCCAGGGGATGAGCTCAGATACAGCAGCCCCCCCAGAGGGTTCAAAGCAGCCCTCAGATCCCAGGCTACCAAAGCCTGAGCAGGCCCAGAGTTAATATAGATCAGTGTGGTCTATAAATACACAGCCTGCAGGGCCCCAACCCCAGCCCTGCCCCATAGCTGCCTTCCTTCTGGGCCTTGGTTTCCGTGGATGTCACAGCAAGCTATATCAGGACAGGGACCACCAAGCTCAACAGAGTTCTACCCCAGCAGGGCTGGCTGGCAGAGGCCCTCGGGGCGCAGGCCAGAGCCCCAGGAAGCACAAGAGAGAAATGAGGTTTCCCTGAAGCCAAAGGTGTCCAGGCAGTGACCCGCTCATTGCCTAGGAGTGTGGAGCCAGAGTCGAAGAGGCCTAGCGGCCAGAGCTCCGGAGCTCGCTCTGACAGCCTCTACAGCCAGGAGCTGGTAGTCCCAAGAGCTAGCCTGGGTGGGCCAAGCCCTAGGCGCTCTTTGTCCTCTGGGTCCATCCTAGCTTCATGAGAAGGAGGCAGGGCTTTATTGGGAATGAAGCTGGGGGGACAGTCTGAACCACCCTGCAAATCTCAGAATGCAACAGTGCCCAATGTGGCCGCCATGCCCCCTCTGGATCCGAAGGATGAAACCACGGGCTCATTCCAAGGGTGCTGTGCCCACAGCCAGACGTGGGTCAGAGAAGGAGACATGCCCCCTGGCACCTCACTAGCACCGGGCCCTGAATGCTTAGGATATCACCATACTGGCAGGAAGGGTAAGACAAGCAAGGCTGAGAAGGGATTGTGAGGCCCGGCGCCCACTGCTCCTGGGATCTAAGACAAGCGCCCACGAACTCATAAACCCGGTTCTGAGCAGCAATGGCTGCTGAGTCTAGGAGCCACGCATGGGGAAGGAGCAGGGTCTCGTGAAAATCTCAACTCAGACGGACTCACACAACAGGCAGAGGAGCTGAGGAGCCCAAAGGCAATCCCACCCCCACCCCCGCCACCCCCTAGGGGCTCTGTCTTCATGTACTCTGAGTGAGTCACAGGATGAGAGCAGCAAGCCTGCTTCTCACTCGCTACCCCTCACTGCCTGGACAGTCACCAGACCTCCCTGAGCCTAGGCATTGCGGCATCCCCCAGGGCACCTTCTCAACTCCATGCAGCTGCTACAAGAAGCTAAGGGTAGACGGAGGGCCCCTGCCCACTTATAAACTGTAAAGTGCTGTTCTTCACTGGTTTCTATAATCCAGTCTTTTCCAGTCTTTTCTTATCTTTTCTCATCTACATCGCAACTCTCTTTTCTAGCTTCCCCTCGCTCAGGTTTGAACCCAGGGCCTCACAGGTGCCCGCCTAGCTCCCCTCACAAAATCCTGCACCAGTTTGGATCAGCTGGGCCCCCTGAGTCTGCCTCAGCCCACAAGGCTTGCACACTTGCTCTTCTGGGTCCCAGGAGCCAGCCACAAATTTGTCTGTCTCCTCCTGCTTCGAGGGCACAGAGGCCCCCCAAAAGTTAACTAACTTGCTCAAGACAACTATGCAAGAACGTGAGACTGCTTGGTCATGACCCGGAGGATCTGCCTGGGCGTCTCCAGTGCTCTGGCCACTGTGGTCCCCCCAATTCGTTCATGCCCACCTGCTCCCAGTCAATACAGCTTCCCAGATGTATGCAATATTCATGTTTCCACCAGAAACAGCTCAACACCTCCTCTCCAAGGCCTTTGGGAGCCCCATTAATCATTCAGACACACCTGCATATTCATTAACTTCTGAATTAATACAGGGTCCTTTATTACCTCGGGCCTGCTGCCTGCATTAGAGACACTTCGACTTCATTCATTATTAAACTCCCCTGATAAACGATCGCATCTCTTCTTCACAAAGGAGGGGGACAAAGCACCCCGACCCCCCCCCGTCGCCCCTCCCCACGAGCCAACAGGTCGGTTCCCATCACCAGCTGCTGTGTGACCTTGAACAAAACCCTTACCCTCTCTGGGCTTCCCACATGTTGACCTGGTAAAATCATACAGAGGTCAGCTCTGTCAAGGTGGGGTTGCCCCACAATGTGTCCCTGCTCTGTCGGTTTGGACACACTCATTCCTTGTCCTCGAGAAATGAAGTGACCCCACAGACCACCCCTAAGTGGGCTCTGTCACGTAATAATAATAACGGCAGAACTGATGGTCACCCCCAGCACCTCCTGAGCCCTTCCCAAGTCTTGTGCTAACCCCAGCACCCAGTCCCTATCCTCGCAACAGTGTATATACTTTGTTTTGTCGTGGGGAGGCAGATGTGGAGTGACAGAGGCCAGCGAGGTCACGGTCATCTCCCCAGAAAGGCAAGAGCTGGCTGTGAGCTCAGGTAGCCACAGACCACCTGGTGCAGGCCGGCTCCGTCCAGCGCCTCCCTCCCTCCCTCCCCAGCCGAGCCCCTCCCCAACCGAGCCCCTCCCCAGCCCAGCCCTTCCTTCCACATCCATGCTTGCCTGCTGGAGCTGCACGTCCACCGGTTCCTCGGCAGACATCACATTAGTCTCCATTATACCTGGTACCCAGTGAGCCCTCGAATGAAGCATGAGGATGCCTCCCTCGGGGCAGCGTCTCCCCCGCCCCACATCCCACTGGCTGCAACCCGCTCTCTGCCTCCACTGTGCTCCCCAGGCAGCTCCAGGCCGAGGGCCACCAACATCAGCAGGGCCAGCTGCCCTCGTCCTCCCACCCCCCCACCCGCCTCCGCCGCCCCTGCCCAAACTGAGATGCAGCCTGAAGCTTCGCACTCGCCCTCTGATTGTATCACCATGGGCTCCTTCCCAAAGCTCTGGGTGCCTCTGCTCCATCGTCATCCTCATGCCTGGCTCTGGCCTCTCCCTCATCCCTCATCTCCAATCTATCGTGACACCTGTCCAGGCCTCACACCTGCTGCCCCGCTGTTCAAACCAGAAGCAGCTCTTATGTGGATAGCAGCAGGACCTCTAGCATCCTCTGCTTCCTCCTCTCCCTCTGCTGGGCTGCCCAAGGACCACCCATCAGGGCTTCAGAGACCATCGGGAGCTGTCTCAGGTTGAAGCCAGAAGCCATCCTGAAGGTACTATCCCCAACCCCCAAGGGCCTGGCTGTATCTTCTGTTCCCCTGGATGACTCTACCCACCTTGTCCGAGTATGGGTTCATCACAGGCCTGTAGGGTCACGTGGCTAGCAGCCCCAACCCACAGCCCTGGTAATAGGCAGTGATGCACCTGGTACCCCATAAAGAAGCTTCCTGTGGTCAGGCAGCGGTGGCGCATGCCTTTAATCCCAGCACTTGGGAGGCAGAGCCAGGTGGATCTCTGTGAGTTCGAGGCCAGCCTGGGCTACAGAGTAAGATCCAGGAATGGCACCAAAACTACACAGAGAAACCTTGTCTCGAAAAAAACAAAAAAAAAAAAAAGAGAGAGAGAGAAAGAAAAGAAAGAAAGAACGGAAGGAAGGAAGGAAGGAAGGAAGGAAGGAAGGAAGGAAGGAAGGAAGGAAGAAAGAAAGAAAGCAAGAAAGAAAGAAAGAAAGAAAGAAAGAAAGAAAGAAAGAAAGAAAGAAAGAAAGAAAGAAAGAAAAAGAAAAAAAGAAGCTTCCTGTGGAGTCCCTGGGGCCACTCAGTGGGCCATCCACTGCCAACAGGACCCCTGCTTAACCAGACCACTTCTCAGATGAGATCAAGGCCCAAGACAAAGTGGCCTGGCCAGGACCAAGAATCTGGTTAGAATCTGGTTACGGCAAGATCAAAACCAGGCCCGGACCACATGCCAGATTGTTCATTCACTCACACCCTAAGGGGTAGGCCTGGCTGCCCTACCCATTGGAGAGATGAGGAAATAGGCCCAGAGCAGTGAAGCCACTTGCCCAATGACACACAGCTAAGAACAGGAACAGGAATGAGATTCCCGAGCTGGACCTCTACCCACCAGCTCTGCTGAGATTGCTGGTGTGCTTGGTGGTGGTGGTGGTGGTGGTGGTGGTGGTGGTGGTGGTGTGTGTGTGTGAAACATCCAGCAGCAGAGACCTGAGCATGGCCCTCCCTCAGCAGACATCAGCTTCCTTCTTCGTCAAAGAGACCTTCTCCTCCCACAGCCACAGACCCTGAGCAACAAAGACGCAGGGAAGAAATGGCGGAAGCATGCCGGCCATCGCCAAGGGATGGGAGACCTAGGGGACCAGCGACCAGGAGCTCGTGGGGCAGGCAAGGCACAGGCCCGGCACCACAGGGCCACCAGGAGACTAGAAAGACAGGCAGAAGCCAGGCACCTCAGAGGCCTGCGCTCTGCCAAGCAGACCGTCCACACACCACGGCACCTGCCGAGCTCAGTAGCTGCCTGGCCTAGGACACGGACAAACAGAAGAGAGGGACAAGGAGACGGGAGCTCGGGACACCCACGAGGCCCAGGCAAACCCAAACCCTCGCAAACGCGCCCAAGCTCTGGACGAGTCTAAGGATACCTTCCTGGAAGTTATTTTGTAAAGTAACTAGCTCCCAACTCCTCTTAGGAAAAGCCACATTTTCAGACTGGGCTTGCGTAAAGCGATGTGGCCCTCCTGGCTCTCTGGGTGCATCTGTGTCGTGCACCCGCTGTGAGCACCGCAGGGGTAGGGGGAGCTTGACTGCAGTTCCCCACCCCCCAGCACAAGGCAGGTAGGTATACAGTAGGTGGTCAGTAAATGCAGCAGTCAACGCCAACTGTCAGTGCTCACGTCCCCGGGTCCGTGATCAGGCAGCAGGCACCGGCTGCTGCCATCTTCAGGCCTTCTGAGGAACCTCCTCGGTGAAGGTCAGAGCCATCGGTGGCCACAGCCCTGAGAAGGGAAAACTGAAGCCAAAGAAGGCAATGGCCTGGACCGAGGCCTCAGCACACCCCATCGCCTTCTAGAGCGCCCCTTCTATCCAGACTCATTGACTGCTGCAGGTTCCCAGGCCCCTCATCAGGGTGCCATCCTCTGCCCCCTCCTCTCCACGGTCCGACATGTGCTATTCTCCTAGCTCAGTGGTTCTCAACCTTCCTATTGCTGCAACCCCTTAATACAGTTCCTCATGTTGTGGTGACCCCCCCCCCCAACCATGAAATCATTTTCATCGCTACTCCATAACTGTAATTTCGCCACAGTTATGAATCGTAACTCAAACATCTGATATGTGACCCCTGTGAAAGGGTCATTTGACCCCCTCCCTCCCCCGAAGAGGTCGCGACCCACAGGTTGAGAACCACTGCCCCGGGTGCTGGCACTTCAGGCATCAGCTTGCAAGGTGCCACCATAGGCTGTCCAAACATGCTTCCAGCTCAGCAGGCCCACACTGCTGCTCCGCCTCAAGCACCCCCACATGTCAAGGTCACCATCGCCTGCCATCTGGTTAGCTTTATCGACAACGCTGCCTCTCCCACCGGGTGATGAGACCCACTTCACGGTCCAGCCCTTTGCTCTCCACCTGCAACCTCTCGACACTGCCTGCAAGACAGAGCCTTCCAGAAGGCTGCTCTGGGGCTGCCTGAGCCTCTCAAAATCAACTGGGGTTCTGCAGTCCTGGGGATGGACCCTCGCTCCTGAAAGTGATAGGAAGCATCTATGATAAGAGCCTATGTCTTCCTCCGACCTCTGCTGTGAACCTCCCCAGGACCGGCCCCGTCACCGCCTCCAGGATGTGTTTCCCCAGCCCAGGTTTCTCTACTGAATTGTCCCGCACTTGGCAGCTCAGCACCCAAGGCCCACGGTTTCCCCTCTAGAGGGCCAGGGCAGTATGGGTGTGACTCTGTGTCGCAGCATGAAGCCAACACAGAGAAGGAACCCTGGAGGGGAAAGTGAGAAAGCAAAAGGACCACGTGCCCTCTCCGGCAGGTCCCCACCAGTCCTACCCTCAGCACAGTGGGCGTTCTCACTTCTTCTGCACCCGACAACAGGCTCCATGTGGTTCTTATCGCAACTCTAGGGCCTTGACCAGCATGCTGATCACGTGCCAGCCCGGCTTGGACCTGCTCAGGACGGACGGTCAGGCCAGGTGGGTGCCAAGGGACAGGGAAAAGAGAAGGACGTGGAGAGAGCTTCTGAGATGAGCTTCGTCTGCAATGTGCAGCTGACACAGCTGTCCTCTCGTCCGTGGGCCCCCACTCACACACGGGCAGGCAGAGGCTCCGACAGCAAGGCAGGCAGCTGTCCCGGAGCTAACCCCTGCCTGCATCTGCTCCTGAGAGGCACAAGGGCCTCTGAACAGAGGAGGGAAAGAACATCGGATTGCATCCCAGGAGCCACGGGCTCCGAGACAAGGACAGCAAGCAGGCACCTGCAACCTGGACCCACACTCTCGCTCCGAAACCTCCAGCTGCGTGACCTTGGGCAGCCTGGGCAGCTTCTCTGGGCCGGCTTCCTCGTGGGTCTCTAGGGACACAATGTTAGATGAAATCAGAGCAGCGCACACTGCCGAGCACCTCGTGAATCAGGCCCTTTCAGGGTCCTCCTCACAAAAGCCTGCTCAGAGCCCTGCAGCCGTAAACTAGGGCAGCAGACCTGTTAGCCCGTGCAGTGCCCTGCATGGCGACCTCAAGCCTTGCACAATGACCTCACGCTACAGGTTCCCCCTGGCTCTGCCCTTGCCTTCCACCCTTCAAAGGCAGCTGGGCTGCTCGGCTTCTAGTCCAGCTGTTTCTGCACGTGAGTCTGTCGCAGCAGCAGCAGCAGCAGCAGCAGCTCCAGACTGCGGCCTTCCCTTCCGCTCAGAGAGCAAGCCCTCACCCTGGATCCGACCCGCCCTTCCCTCCCCGTGTGCCGCCACCTAACAGCGCCACCGGACTGCTGCAGCAGCTGCCCCCAGGAAGCCCCCTCCTGACCGCCAGCCTCAGCCTATCCCCGCCCCCAGCAGTCGCCTGGCACCTCCCCAGCTCCCTGGGGATTTGACAAGCCCCCGTGGCTGGAACCTGGATGAACTGCATCCTCTCAGCATAAACTACCTCTCACTACACACATACACAAATGCTTATGTGCCACGTTATGCATGTACACGTGCCACACAAACGTATACATGCAAGCCTGTGTGTGCTGTGCACATACATATGCATATCCATGTACACATACATGTCATACATATGTACACGTATGCCACATACACTTGTGCTCACCTATACATACATATACACCATCCCCCCACCCCCCGCTCGTGCTGGGCCCTCTGGATATGGCCCTTGTTTTGACCCCTCTCTTGACCCTGCCCTTCCCTACCACTCTCCCTCACTCCAGAACTCTCCAGAATGGCGTCAAGCCCCCTTTCCATCCCGCTCCTCTTCCCCTCTGCATTGGTGTTTGGTTCCGAAATGCCACACCCACACCACAGCTCTCGCATGCCCAGCATGTTCCCTACGGCTAGAAGACACCACGGAATCCTGACTTCTCCTCGGGGCCTTCCTCACGCTCCCCTCCAGACCTCCCCAGTGCTGCGGCCTTGTAAACATCTCGCTGTCTAACGTTAGCGTCTGCTCACACCTCTTGGCCTACCCAGAGATTGCCACAGCCCATTGGGCTGGCAACTGCTGTTTCCCACCAGGGACTCCAAGCTGCCTCCTACAGGAAGTCCTCCAGCCCGGCAGGCACCAGTCATCCCAGAAGGCTTGGTCTCTGAGTCTGCCCTCCTCCTTGGCCTTGGGAATCCTGGTCTCAGAGGCCTTGTCTTTCGGCCTCTGGACCCAGCTACCTGCACGATCTCCTTCCAAATAGGGCCCAGAGCTGTCTCTCCCGTGCTGTCCCAGCTTTGAGGGGGCTGCTCAGTCTACAGTGACCCTCTTAGCCATCACTTCTTCCATCCCCGTGAGCACTCAGAGTCACACACCTGAGCTCCTGCCCCGTCCTCAGAGCCCCTGACTCCCGTTGGTTAAAATGAAAACGCACATCTATCTAGACTCATTACTTCACCTCTCCCTGGTCCCAGCCACCCTGCAAGGCCTTCCTCGGTGAAGCAAAAATATAAGGGTTTAAAGACACCACTGAAACCTCAAAGAAGCCCCAAGGTACAGAGAGGGGAAACTGAGGCAGAGAGGTGCTCCTCCAAGCCACTGAGGACAGGGCTTATGACCTGGACTGCCTCCCTGCCTACTAAAGCTAGACCCTGGGGGCGGGGGCAAAACCCACATGGAAGGGCGGGGGCGGGGGCCAGTGATGGTAAGAGAGGTGGGTCATTAGCCTCCCTGGCCAGCAGCCTTGACCTAACCCCCCCGAGAGCCCCCATGTGGAAACCCAGAGGAAGGTCCATGGTTGGCTGGCACAGATCCCACCCACACCTGGGGACAAGTGCATCTGCCTTCTCCCTCCCTAGGGACCTGGGCTCCTGGGACTGAACCACCTGAACAGGCCAGGGCCTCTGAGCAGGTCCCTGGTGGCGAAGTGTGAGCTGCCCATAGCCCAGAGACACAAGGAGAGACTCTCTGAGTAGCTGTCTATTCCACAGACAGGAAACTGAGGCCCACAGGCCTGTCACATCTCCCCAAAGTGGCCCAGTGTCCCGATCCTCTGGGGCTACCCCTGGAAGAAAGAATACCCACTCTTCCCATGAGCCCCACACCTAACCAGAGCAGACAGCAGCGAGGGTCGGCTTCCAAACCACAAGTTCCCACACCCTGCCCGTCTCTAGGCCTGTCAACATGGCTCCCAGCCCCTGCCTTTCTTCTTCCTGTCTTGGGGAGATCCAGTGAGGTTTGCTAAGCCAGAATCACTCTCAACTCACAAATCGCCATACTTGCAAGGGACTGCCGGTTCCCAAAGCGAAAGCCACCACGGTAAGTCACTCATCATTCTGCTCCTCCAGGCCCTAGTCCATGCCTTGGGGCAGGAGTGAGGGACCCGTGGAGAGCAGACAGGCATGGCACTGCCCTGAGGAAGCTCACGGCTTCTGGGGAGACCCGCAGGAGACCAGACGTTTGTCTGTGAGACATGGTGCGTGGGGGTGGGGCTATGGGGCTTCGGGCTTCGGGACAGCATCCTAGAGCAGGCCAGGATGAGACTCCAGAGCAAGGATCACCTCCTTCTCCAGCTCATGGAAGACAAGGAGCTCAGGGGACATGACTCACCCAGCGAAGGGGGGCGTGGCTGCCTGACAAGCCAGGGCCATCCCTACTGTTCTTCACAGAGCTAGGAGGTGGGACTGTCGCTGTCTCTGCTCTAAAAGTGAGGGAACTGAGTCCCAGAGGTCGGAAGCAACTGGCCTCAGACCCTCTCACTCTCAGGCAGCAAAGCTGGTGGTCTGTAGGCTTTCCTATCCGTCCCGGGGTCTCTGAAGTGGCGGATGGCAGTTGCTAGAACACACTCCCTCTGATCTAAGGGCTGAGTGACTGCATTGAAGCCAGAGGCTCCCAGAGCCAGCAGAGCAAGAGGAGGCCCAGCCACAGTTTTGGAGACCCGAACCCCGCAGGCACTCTGGAGCCATGGCCACAGCTGGGTCACAAACTCACCTGGAATCAGCCACCGCAAGCCAGGACTGGGCAGGAGCAAAGGCCAGCCTTACCCGGAGGCACAGGGAGGGTATTTCTGTGTCACCGGGCAGAGCCCACCTCAGCCCTCCCCGTAACACACGCCAACGAGGGGTATGAATTTCTGCATCCTTAACTTCCCAAATGTTAACAGGCTCATAAACATTAAGATATTCTTCCTCAGCCCCACGACACCCTGCATTTGTTTAATTTTGTTTTTCCTCCCTCCCTCCCCCAGCATCCATCCGCGAGCGATGGTGAGAGACATGAAAAGCTGCAGACTCCAGTGTCTGCCTGCCAAGTGGGTCTACCATTCCCTCCCCACCCCCTGCCCTGGGTGGGGGGGAAAGGGGAGAGCCCCCAACACACTCATACACACACACACACACACACACACACACACACACACATACACACACACGTATGCATGCACGCATACACACACACACACACACACACACACACACACACACACACACACACACGAAATCAGAAGGCCCAGGGGCAGGTGCTACTACCTCCCTGCTGCTACTGTGTGACCTCAGGCCCCAGACTTAACCTCTCTGTGGTATAATTGCCTCCACGACAAAGTAAGAACAGTGATTGCACCCAGCCCGCCTCAGGGTGGGTGTGAGGATCAAGGCAGATAATCCCAGTAAAGTGCTTAGTAGTCTCCTGGCACAGAGCAAGCCCTCGATAAATGTTAGCCCTTGTTATTATGTAAAGGAGGGCTAAATACCTCCCCCAGTTAATCCATTTGTAGAGTTCGCCTTCTGGGGCAGGCTGGCAGTTCCAAACACAGCCCAGCGCGCAGTTTGGTTGTGTTGGCTAGCTCTGTGGATTTAAACTCCAGCTTCCACGCCATCAGGCAGAGCTGGCTGACTGCTGCAGCTGGCCACAAGCCCCACCACACCCTACTGCCTGACTCAGACCCCATGGGCATGGCACAGCCCCTATGGACAGCAGTATTCGTCAATCAGTGACAATCTCTAAAGCTTTTTCAGAACCGGGCACAACAGCTGTAATGCATGTAATCCCAGAACATGGGTGTAGAAACAGGAGGATCAGGAGTTCAAGGCTAGCATTGGCTACATAGCAAGTTCAAGGTCAGCCTGGGCTACATGAAACCTCTACTTTAGGGGAAAAAAACTTAAAAGATCATCATGGTGACCCACACTTGTAATGAATGTCAGCACTCAAGATGCTGAGGCAGCAGGATTGACAAAGTTTGAGGCTAGCCTGGGCCATGGTGTAAGACTGTCAGAGAGAGAAGGGGAAAGGGGAGGGAGGGAGGGAGGGAGGGAGGGAGGGAGGGAGGGAGGGTGAGTGGTGTGTGTGTTCATCTTGGTAATTTGGTTGCCACAGAAGGCAGGCTAACAGCTGAACTTGGTAGCCTGCTCTGTGGTCCTAGCACTCAGGAAGCTGAGGCAGAAGAATTGCCCGAAGTTCAAGGCTACATAAGGAGTTTTAAGTCAGAAAAGCAAAAACAAAAACCACAGGCAGGCCCAGCTGAAGGATGAGGAGAGCAGTCTCAGAAAGGGTGACGGTAACCAACCCACGGGTCCCAAGGGAGGGGACCGAGGGGAGAGTGTGGTCACCAGACCTGGCTCATTTTCTCCCTGTCCCCCCAGGCCATGCGGAGAGGTGCCGCCCTGTACCCAGAGGAGCTGGGCAGGCGACAAGGATGTGGTCTGCAGCCTCCAGCAGCTCGGAGTATTTGGGGCCAGGAGGGTGGCCAAGCAGAAGCCGGTACTGCCAACTCAAGGTGGCACTCCTGTGTGCCCAGCCCATCACTGGGCACTTGGAAGATAAGAGCAGGGGGTAAAGGTGGCCCCTTCTCCTTGGAGTCCCCATATCCTCGGCGCTGAGTGTACTTCCACAAACAGCCCAAGGCAGTAACCGTCCACAGTGCCTGCCTCCATGGACCAAAACTAGACCTCACAGTCCAGGTCTGTTTCAGTTACTACAACACCCTCCTCCAACTCCCAGCCCTCAGGAGAAGCTACAGGTCCAGGCAGTAGATTGTCACGGACGGAGTCACTGAGAAGCCCCAGGAGCCTGGCCCTCAAAACCCTGGCTGTGTACTTCAAACCAGCACCTTCCAGCAAGAGGCAGGACATAGCATCCAGACCCTTTCAGGACAATCACTTGTCTCACAGCTCTCCTCCCAGGCCAGGACCCCGCTCATGGAGTACCCACCCCTTGGCTAAGCACAAGAAATAGTCAGTGTCAGACAGGCAGCGGTGGCACACGCCTTTAATCCCAGCACTCAGGAGGCAGAGTCAGGAGGATCTCTGTGAGTTCAAGGCCAGCCTGGTCTACAGAGCGAGATCCAGGACAGGAACCAAAACTACACGGAGAAACCCTGTCTCGAAAAGAAAAGAAAAGAAAAGAAAAGAAAAGAAAAGAAAAGAAAGAAAGAAAGAAAGAAAGAGAAAGAAAGAAAGAGAAATAAAAGAAATATCCAGTGTCTCTACTAGGGACTAAGGTCAGGGCTGGGTGGCTCATTGCGACCCTGCAAGGTGACCAGTGGTATACCATGTGTCAAGAAGTCAAACATCTTCCCTGGAGGGAGAATCAGAGCTGGACACACCCCTGGGCAGAGATGAAGAGCACAGCTTGATGACCAGAATCCAGCGAGGCTCCGGGGGGAGGGAGGAAAGAGAAAAGAGGTGGGTTCCTCGGAGAAGTAGCAAGGTCAGGACGAGCCTATGGGTAGGGATAAGGGCATCCCAGAATTGTCGCAGATCACGGAGATGCTAACTACTTAGAGGGACCCATCACGGCCCACTGCCTGGGTGTCACTGTGGAACCTACTGTATCCCGTGACACCTTAGGCTTATGTCACTTCCGCTACCCCCTCCATCCCTCAGTGCCCTGATACTTGCCACCCCAGGCAGGTTCGCCTCTCCATTCATAGATCCTACCAAACCAAATATGGCTGACAGCTGTCCGTAAATTTGCCCAGGGTCCCACCAAGCCAAGAGTATCCAAGCAGAGACTCCAAGCCTGCTCACAGACACCCTCATCATTGCCTCCATGACTTTGAAAGAGGTCCCTAGGCCACCCCAGCTACCGCAGGGGTGAGCCAGGGCCACAAGGGGTAGAAACATGAGAAGGGGGGGGGGTTTGAGGAGGGAGGGGCGGGCCCAGGAAGAAAACTGGATCCCAGTCCAGGTCCCCGTTGCCTTGGCAACAGGACTAATTAATTCCAACTTGGGCTCCATCTGTGCCTTGGCTGGATGGGCGGTTTGGGCTGGCGGGTGTTTGTTTTGAAGAGAAGGAGAGCGAGAAGCGAGAGAAGCTGGGAGGCTGTGGTCCCAAGGGCTGATGGGGGGCTGTGGCACTCCCCCAGGTTCTCACATAGCATCCCCACCAACCACAGCACAGGCAGGCTCAGCCCCCAGAGACAGCCTCCACTGTCCTTTCCCGGAGGAGGCTCAGCAATCCAGCCCAAACATGGCCTTGTGAAGACAGCAGCCAGAACCTCCCCACCACCACCACCACCACCACCACGTGTGTGCGCATGTGCGCACACCAAAGAGAACACAGGACAGAATGGCAAAGGCTGGGGTCCCAGAGCTGAGATACTTGAGCCTCAGTCTCTCCATCTGCAGAGTGGGCAGATACCACCTGCTAAGGGAAGCCCTCTTCAGGGTCGCTTGTGGACATTGTCCATCCTAGGGTCAGAGAGGGTGTCACCCAGGAGGAATCTGGCCAGGGAACCACGGGTATAGCAATATCCAGAAGGTATTTTTGAAGAGCTAGGCCTAGACCACAACTGGATATGTCGTGCATACGAGAGGGAGAAAGGGCCCTGAGGAAGTCACAAGGCTGGGCCAACTCCTGGCAGGTCTCAGGAGCTGCAGCAAGACATCTGGGTCTTGGCCCAGAAACGGTCAAAAGCCAGTGAAGTGCTGGCGAGCTGGCGCTGAGGAAGGGTGCAGGGGGAGTAGGGGGCTGCTGTGAGGATACAGGCAAGGATGGGGTGAAGTGCCAGCAAGGGCGGCAGAGGGGACAGACGCACAGAGATGAGAGGGCAGGGATTGGTGGTCTGTAGGATGGAAGCCCAGAGTAGGATTCAAGGATGCTGACCAGGCTGCAGGCCAGAAGCTGAAGTGTCCAGCCTGGAGCAGGGGGCCTCGGGAAGGGGCAAAGGGCAGGGTGCGGAGGGCGAGGCCAGCAAGAGATGTGTTTTTAGGAGTCAGAGGTCATGTTCAATCGGCAGGTGGTCACAACTGATGCCTGACAGGCAGAGGCAGGTCCCCGGGGTAGAGGATAGAGATTTGAGTGCCCCCAGAACTCTGCTCTAAGAAACTCTAGGGGCATGGAGCATGGAGCACTGCCTAGGCCATGGCTGAGGATGGGGACTAGGCTAAGGGAGTGCTCTTAGAGACAGGCATAGTGACAGCTCACACACGCTGGTGCCCTGGTGCCTGTTACGTAACGGTTCTTAGAGTCAGACCCCTCGGGTTCAAGTCCCCAGCCTCCCCCAAGCCTTGCAGAACAGCTTGATGCTGAGCCTCGCCTTTCCTGGTGTCGCTGGCAAGTACAAGCAACACCGGGGGGGGGGGGGGGCTGGGATGTCGCACAGGCTCTGTCCCACAGCTCCCCAGGCTCCAGGTGCGATGTGTTCAGGGAGCCGGCAAGACACGGAGCTTTGGTGAGCCTCTACTGTGTGCCAGGGACCCACCATGCGCTGAGCACCTGCCACATACTGGGCACCTGCCATGTGCTGAACAACCACCACGTGCTAAACACCTACGATGTGCCGGGACCCTCACCTGTACTATATAGACCATAGTGGGGAGGGAAGGCCGGGGCTCCTCAGTTACCCCCTCACCTCCCTGAACCACCCACTCCTTAAACACCAGATGGAGAAAGCAAAGGCATGGAGCACATGGCTCACAGGGTCACTGCGAGCATGAAACAAAGCATGTGAGTCAGGGGTGGTGGTGCACGGTGGTGATCTCAGCACTCGGGAGGCAGAGGCAAGAGGAAGGCTGTTAATTCAAGGCCAGCCTGGGCTACATAGTGAGTTCCAGACCATGGTCTCAAAAAAAAAAAAAAAAAAAACTGAAAAAAAAAAAGACAGGGAGAGAGAGAAAGGGGAGAAAGGGAGAGGGAAGCCTGTCCCCTGTCTGCATACAGCAAGCGCCAACTCATTGAACTCTACAGTCATTGTTAGTTCCGTCTTCATCTCTCCTCCCGGCAGCTCACAGGACGGGACTACTACGAGGCCGCAGAGATCTGGGCTCTGCCCTGCCTCTTAGCTGTGTGACTTTGGACAAGGTACCTTCCCTCTCTGAGTCCCACACCATTGTCCTGAAGGCTGGATGATACCCAAAATCCTGCTCAGTGCACACAGTAAGAACTCAATAAATGATGGCAGTGAGAATCAGTGATGGGCGACGGAGACAGGAAGAGGAAACAAATGAATTCACAATGGAGGAGGTGCTGACGGTGGCCCCCTGACTCAGGATCTCCCA